ATTTCAAAAATCGATTTGCAAATATATATTATTTAAATTTATACAAGGTTTTAAATAATTTTAATTAAATTTTAATAAAAGTTAAACTTACTTAAGTTTAATCTATAATTAACCAAGTTTAAGGATCTCTGTGATTATCGTATTTAAGACATTAAAATATTGGTTAAATATTGGTTAAATTCTATTGTTTTATTAAGCAAAATGCCAACAATTCAATTTATTCATCAACAAATGTTACTCCAGAAAGTATTCCATCAAACAGCAATTTATTGACACTATTTCTCTACCGTCTTTAAGACATTTAAATATTGGTTAAATTCTATTGCTTTATTGAGCAAAATGCTAAAAGCGAATGTTAAAAAATCGTATTTATTAACAACAAATGCTTCTCCAGAAAGTATTCAGTCAAACCGTCAGCAAAATATTGATACTATTTCTTTAATAATTTTGACGTTCTGGAATTGACAACTCTATTTCTGCTCCTGTGCAATTGCCGACGAGCAACAAGTTTGCAAAATGCTTAATGTTTGTGAAATCGGTACACTGTCTATTGCAACATTTCGTATGGACAAAGTTGAACATAAACATTGACTTTTAAAACTTTTTTTCCTTTGAAAGTTGCTGCTCGTGCCTTTCTGCGTTCTAAAAAGAAATTAGGTACCAAACAAACTCATGTTCAGATACATGAACTTTGGCTCAGTGAGTATAACGCCAACAACTGATATAGCAATGTAAGATGTCTCTATCTCTAATATTCTCTCTTATAATATACTTAAAAATGATCTCTCTCTCCCTCTCTCTCAAAAATTCAGGGATTGGATTATGTAATTGCATTCTTTGTCTTGAAAAATACTCTCTAAGTAAAATTCTAAGGGATTTGGATGGGGATTAAATGGTCGCGAGATATGAGCCATGAAGTAAGATAGCTAGAATTGCCATTTCCTATTCTTGCTTTCTTACTACTCACAAGACTACTCACAAGCAAATAAAATTTTATTTATTGATTTAAATAGATTTAAATTTCAAAAATCGATTTGCAAATATATATTTTTTAATTCATACAAGTTTTTAAATATTTTTAATTAAATTTTAATAAAAGTTAATCTTACTTAAGTTTAATATATAACTACCCAAGTTTTAGGATCTCGGCATGTATCGTCCTTAAGGCATTAAAATATTTCTTAAAGTTGGTTAAATTCTATTTGTTTATTGAGCAAAATGTGTGCGAATAACGACCCAGGTTATCAACCTATCACATAAAGGCAACAGAAAATGATTTCCCAAATTGATAAAAAATTTACACTATCAAAACATTAGGTCAATGAACTTAGACAACAAAAAAGTGCAATAAACCCGCTCTCTGGTGCGCTCACAAGTCAAGTTCCCTTTGGACTTTTCATGAGATGGCAACTTCGCCGTACTGTAGCACCCTTTCACCGCAGCTTAAGTGGAAGCCGACTCGAGTATCTCTTTACTCATACGTTAATCAAGCGCGAGAAATGTTTACTCATCGCAGCTCGATCAAAAACGTCCACGAATCGTATTATACGAATTTGTTAGGTGACCGTTCTGTCACCGTGGGTAGTATAATTCAACTGTAGTATAATTCAGCAGTTCCATAGCAACTTGAATTCAGCACTTCCATAAGATTATGACTTTCATCCGCTAGTCTTTCACGAGTGGATGTTCATTAGGAAGCCGACCAAATACTCTTCCTACATATCGACGAGCTTCAACAGTTGGAAGACTGCAAAAGCAGCCAGAAAACTGACGAACACTACTGGCTGAAATTTGGGACGCATTCGTTCAGCATTGATAAGCATATATACAGCGTGTGAGCGACAGCATCTTAAATTGCGAACAGAGCACATATTATAAAAACTAGTTCGGGTCCATTTTTGGCGGAAGCGGTTAAAATTCATTCTTTATTATATAGCCCACTCCACCAAAAATGGAAACGACTAGTAATTACTTGAAAATATTAATCATTTTTCCTCTCCGTTCTTTGTTGTTAGTATAATTTGTCTCATTTTGGCCGCAACGGGCAAAAAACTTTTTTCCTTAAATTTGGCCCGTTCCGCCAAAATGGGCCAAATTCCGCCCAAAATTCTTTACAATAATTTAATAAATTCCGCAACTTCATTTCCCCTTCTCCTCCTAACTTTTCTTCCAATTCGCCGAATTGTTTAATAATTGTTCTTTTGACTCCTCCCATTTTATGCTTAATCTTGTCATTTTAGGCCAAATAATTTTTATAGTTTTTAAGTTCGTTCAATTAAGTTTAATTACCCTGCCCGATTCTAGCCTAATCTTTCTTAAAATAATATTTAATTACCCAAGTTTGAAAATAATTAATTTCATTTTTTGACTGTGTTCTTGACATTTTTTAAATTTATACAAGGTTTTTGAATAATTTTAATTAAATTTTAATAAAAATTTAACTTAAATGAGTTTAATATGTAATTAAGGAAGTTAAGTATCTCGGCGTGTATCCTCTTTTATGACTTTAAAATATTTGTTAAATATTGGTTAAATTCTATTGCTTAGGTGAACAAAATGCCACAAATCGTATTTATTCAACAGCAAATGTCAACAACAATAACGTGAGATTCGGAGGATATAAGGGATATCAGGAATTTATATTAGAATAAATACGGTAAGTTAAATATAACAATACCTATAATCATTTAAAAGTAGGTTGATGATTTCACTAAGTTATTCGATATCTTCGGTTTGACCTATTTAAAGAATGCAGAATTATGTGATACTTATGTATTTATTATTTAGGTTGTGAATTAGGTTGTGAACTACACGACAAAGTTTAGAAAAAATCAAATTTTGAGCAAATAAAATGCCGGCTCAAAGTTCATATTTTTCTTTGCCGCGGATCACGTTATTGTCAGTAAGAGGACAGGAAACTGAGCTAACGACAAAAATAAAAGTAAATATTATCTTCGATTATTCTTAGAGTATGTAGATAGAAATCTATAGCCAGAAAGACAAAAAATTAGCACAGTATAATATTTGTTTATAATAAAAGTTAATAAATGGAATGAGCAAATTATTTTTAACTCGTTTAATTAAATGATTGAATTTAAGTGAGGTGTCAAATTTAGAATTTTTAGAACGTAATTGGTGAAAGTGGTGGTTCAATCGGTAATAAAAATTCTGATTTTCGACGTTGATGCAATCCGAGGACTGAAACAGACAGTTCGGAAGCTCTTCTTGTATTTCCTCCTTTTGATCCTACAAAAGAATTATCAAGTACTTCACTCGTTGCAGACGGTACAGGACTTAATGTACGTTTATATAGGTCTTGATTGTTATTTTGTTGAATTACTCGATAGAGATTCCTGCAAAAAAACAATAATGAATTAATTTTAATAAAAAAATACTGAAGTATTTTGGTTGTAGTCTCCATTTTTCGGTCCATTGAGTTCAACTAAAAATTTTGAAAAATTTATTAAGTATTGCTGTGGAAAATTTAATTGGATTGGATTTAGAAATATGTATTTTCAAACTTAGAGGGAAATATATAAAATAAATAATGTGAAAAACTGGGGTAAAGATTTTAAAAATATGGCAATCCCGTATACCGTAAATGCTCGAATAATTACCCTTTCTCAAATAATTACCCTCTTGAATAATTACCCCCTCACTTTCTTGCACAAATCTTAAATATGTTGAAAGAATCATTGTCAATTTTAATTACTGAAACATTTTAATAATTTATATCAAAAAATAAATCGATTTCATACTCGATTTATTGAGATATGTATACCTCTAATTCAGCACTTCCTCTCGAATAATTACCCCCTCCAGCGAGAGGTCGAAACAATGACTACCCAGGGTAATTATTCGAGCATATACGGTATGTATATCCAGCATTTTTGCCATCTTATTATATTAAACTGAGATTTTTAAGATTTAAGAAATAATAACCAATAGAAATGGTAGATTATATTCTAATAGTTATGAAATTTTCACCATTTTCGGTCCAAGGTAATAAGGAGGAAATAGTAAAAATTTCAAAATTACTTAAACTAGCAGTGGCCGTTTTTTTGAAATGATTATTTATCAACATGCCTGCATTTCGATCCTGGAAATTCGTGAACCTATAGTCATTGTGTTTGATTTTTTTCCGTTGTTTGCTTGATATTGGCCAGGTTTTCCGAGAGTTTGATCAAGTCTTTATTAAAAATTTTTAAATTTAATTATAGCTCCTGTGATAGCAATAAAGAACAGCTGTCACAAAACACACCTTTTTTCACTCTCGATTTTTCCCAATTCATTCTCACAATTTTTAATCCCAACCTCCCCAAAGAATTAATATATTTGTTAAAAAGATAAAGTAGTTGTTTAATCTAGGAGCAAAGCCGCTCGAGCGCGTCCCCGGTTCCCGCTTTCGGGAACCGGAGGACCCAACGCTCGAGCCCACATAAACCTTACTATAATAGCTCCTGTCCAATTATTATCGACCGGCTGATCTATATTTCAATCTCCTTCTAGATAACGCACTAAATGAATTGGTTCATCAGCTGTATTGTTAAATTAGTCTTGAAACATTAGTTTCAAACTATGTTTGAGACAGGAGTTTGAGACTAGAGAATTTTGTTCCGTACCGTATTCCGTACCGAATACCGTATAATACCGATACCGATAAATACCGATGAAATTCAAAATGTTGCCGTACCGTATTACCGACTGTAATACCGACAAATACCGAAAAATACGGCCGTAGTACGGTACGGTCCGATCTCTACTTGAGACTACAAAACAAAAAAGCGAAAATTCGGCGAATACGGAAGGGAGGTAAATGTAAGGAGGAGAATCTCTACAGATCGGTCAAATCAAAGCTTTCAAATAAAAGCCTTAACATCCTTAAATAAAGATGTTAAAAAGATATAGAGTAGTTTTTGTAGAGGGTCGTTCTTTAGTAGCCCTTCTATAGGTCGCTCTTTTGGATATAGTCTCTTTATTTGAGAGGGTCAACTAATTTCCTACCTTCTTTGCAATTCTTTAATTCTAACCATCATGTTTAAATGTCCTTGAGAATATTGTTCTAAAACATCACGAACCTATATATTTATAATTTTTTAGAAACAAATTCTAAAATAAATTTACTAACATCATAAGGCTTTCTCGCTTGTTGAAATTTTTTTCTTGCAACAAAATATTTTATCTTTCTAATTGCACGGATAGCGTTTTTGTGTGTTTCTGTTAGTTCACAGACATGTCCAATTCGCATTAATGGAAGGGATGAATTTATGTAAGGTTCTTCTTGTTCTTCAAAGCAATTGTCTTCCGATTTAGAATCGGAGAACAATGATGGTTTTTTCCGTGGGCCACAGAGCACTAAATTGAAAATATGTATGTTTTTTGTATACAGGGTGACATAAAAGTAACCGGACACTAATTATTTCATCATAATTATTATTATCACTTATCTTCTATGTTGACTAAGCTTTTGTAATTGTATTAATTTTATTCGGAACCCATTTCAGATACACATTAACACGATATCACGATCAAAATATTTCAACCATACGTCAGCTCAATTAGTTTCATTTAGGGTACCTATCGCGATATTGTCCGTTCTCTTGTTCTCTCTGATAATAGAACCAAGAAACAGCTGGAATTTTGATGGATTGGAACAGAGCCGTTTTTAATAGAAATCTAAATGAACGATTTCGGAACCAATACAATAATTTTGAGCATTCGGCGCTAAAACTACGCTAAACGAACCCAAGTTTGAATCAAGTCAATAAAATTATATTTTATTCAATAAAAAATTTTTACTTCTAAATGTTGGTGAAGACGGAGAATCATTTTCAGGGGTGCTTTTTACTTCACCTTCAACGTGTTTATCAGAACCTGTATCTGCCTTTTGTTGTAGATATATTTGTGATTGCTTTCTTCGATAAAAGCTGCCGTTTCTCCTGAAATTTTTAAAGTTGGACAATTACGGCTTAGTGTAATGGTCCAGTATACTAAAGATGCTTGTTCGCTCCCAGCCAACGATTACCTGTTTGCACTAGCAGGGCCCTATATATAACCACAGAATTCTATTCCTGTGGATTTTGAGCTACTTAATCAACAGATATCTGCCTTAAGCCCAATATCCGACTAATACACGGTTGTCAGATTTTTTTGTTAACCGAATAACTCTAGGATCAGAATACAAGATGAAATCCTTCGACATTCCCCGGTAAGATAAAACTTTTCGAGAATTTCGTCCAACATTCGACAGTTTCTCCTGAAATTTTTAAACTCCTCTTTGTTCACTAATATTTAAAAATACTAAAATTATTCAGTAGATAATTATTTTACCCAACCTATTGAGAACTGATCTTCCTCCCCTCCACATCTGTGTCATTGAATAATAAGGCTTTTTAGTAGCTAGCACTCCTCTTTGTTGACTAATGCCTGACGTTGAAGCAGAAGGACCACGAAAAGAATTTACACCTCCCCCGTTTAAACAATTAACGACATTACTCCTCCTCCTTGTTGTCTGCCTTTGTTGTTTTTGCGCTGCTAGTGGGTCTACGTGTATTTGCCTTAAGTTTATACATGTAAATACCGTATTTACTCGATTAATTCCCCTGGGGAATTATTTTTTGAACCCATCCGTAGCATTCAAGGGAGGGAAATTATTCGAGTTTTGAAATTTGAAGGGGGATTATTGTTTCAACGCATCCGTAGCAGGAGGAATTATTCGAGAGAAGGAGGGGAATTCTCCATCTCCTTTTAAACTAACTTTTAGCGCCAGTTGAAAAACCGAACCCGTTCGGATTTTTCGGAATTCATGTTTCGAATTTGTGGACAATTTTCAGTCATGATTTATCCAAATAATGCTGAATCCAGTCCGGTTTGAAAAAGAGTTTAAAATCTGTTACACTGGACAATAACAATTATAATAAGAAACTTCCCAGCTAGGACCGTTTATGTTTCGTTTCATTCAGAAAAATAAATTAGTCTTAATTTACCAAGTGGCAATGGATTTGGAAGATTTATCTGCAGCATAACAACGCCAGATGCACTGGATAAGCGTTGCAGCAGCAGGAATTTGCCGGTTAAAATGTTTTTGCCTTTGTTTTTGTTGCACCTTTAAAGCAAATCCTGATCCGAGTATTCCCTTAAGTTTTTTAGATAAATTATAGCTCCGGATTTATTTGTTTATTACTGCAGGAAGAGCAAAGAAGCTAATGGCAAATATAGCAAAACAAGAGGCCACAATTCTACCAATCCACGTTTGTGGAACAACATCTCCATAGCCAATTGTTGTCATCGTGATCTGAATAACTGACAAGAAGTTTTTATGTTAGCCACAATTCTTAAATTATTATCTTTATCCTTTTATTCTTAGCAAATGAACGTATTGACGGATATACAAGATCCGATAACGTATCCGATAATGCGGATCCATATATACGGATCCGATAAATCCTCAAGGAAGAATATCCTAAAATTTTCAGTAAATATGTAGGATCCTCATTTCCTAGACTATTCGGAGATCTCTAAAAATTGTATCTCCTCATTCGAGACAAATCTACAATTTAATCTAACCGTATTAATTCAAAGTAACTAGGATATCAAACTAACTGACCACTCCCCACCATAGAGCATCAGCATAACTTCCAAATGCTGGACGACCATCAGGTCCAATTTGTTGTGTATCCCTTTCAGCCAAATATACAAAATATGAAGCAAAAATTAGGCCAAGAAAGCCAATGTACAGAGTCGTAATTAATTCCTTATTTGTTTTCTTTAGTAAAAAACAATTAATCAAACACCTGTCTATGAATGAAGACAACCGATCCAAGTAATCTCCTAAATTAATTTTGGATATTTTTCTTGTAAATAATGAAAGAGAAATTAACAAAACCATGTTCCTCCTTGTCTGTCCACATGCAACATGCGAAGGATTTGTAAAAAGCGTACTCCTCTGAAGAGAGTTTTGAAATAATTTATTGAATTTTAAAATAATTTTGACATGTTTTATAAATGTTAGATCATGTTTAATACAACTTTAAGGAAAGGGGACAAGTTGGGACTTCGAATTTATAATGGTGAAGTAAACATTTTGAGACAATAATACATAAGTTTTAGACACATTTGCCAATTAAGCGAATATTTAACTTACCTAATGGCACTTGTAGCAAATACCTTTCCCTCGCTTCCAACAGAAATAACAAAAAGACTAGCAATAACAACACAAAGATCTAAATCGAAAAATTTTGTAAAAATTTCAGCATAATTTCCAATTTTTGGTGAGCGATTTTTTGTAATTGGTAAGGTTGTTCACCGCCCCCTCCGTGGCGCTGTCGCCCGAAAAGTTATCCCCATTGCCTCCCACCTCCCGTCGGGGAACAACACTAGTAATTCAGATCATTTGCATATTTTTAAAGTATTTATTAAAACTAACCAATTATGGAGATTGGCTTTCGAGCAAACTATATAATATAGAAATTTTAATAATAATAATAATAATCAAACCTTTAAACGCCCTAAAATTCCAAGATATTTGGAGCGACATCCAGCTGCTATAAAAAATAATTCTAAATTGAAAATTAATTTAATCAAACCCCATAGACGAACAATGTATTCAATGCCGAAGAAAAGTACAAGAAAAACTTCCTTAAATTTAGGTTGATTATTGTTACAAGTAGAGTTTCACCGGAAGTTCCGGTTCCGGTTCCGGAAAGTTCCGGTGTTTTTTTGGTTCCGGCTCCGGTTTACAAATCGGTTCCGGCCAAACCGGAACTTTTTTACACCCCTAAAGATTGATTTTTTTTTAAAAATATTAATAAACTACTCGTACTCTCATACTTGTAGTAAAAAAATCGAAAGAAATATGTTTATTTTCTTTCAATTGCATTCTGATGAGCGGGTGTCCGAGTGGTTAAGGGTTTAGGCTTCACTCAAGGGGTTAGTGATTTTAAGTTGGGTTCGCTTCCCGGTCGTAGGACAATAACTCTTCAAATTTTTCTTTCAACAAGTAACTCATTTTATGAGTTTAATTTTGTTTTAAAAATCATTATATTTTTACATGGAGTAATTACGGTTTTTTGGCCCTCTAATTTTTTTTGGCACTCTTTTTTTGGCCCTCTTTTTCAGCGCCTGCGGCGCTGAAAAAGGAAAAAATTTAGCTTCTTGCCCTCAAATATTCTCAACATTTTCGCCTGCGGCGCTGAAAAAGATAGTTGAATGGTATAACGGATGATTTGGATAGATCAATGTGGATTTTGAATTATATAGTGTGATATCAAGGGGGGGCGGTTCGGTTTCGGTTAACCGAAAAAGTTGGTGAAAAGTCAACTTTACTTAAACTACAAATTTTTAAAATTTGCTGGCAAAATTTTTTTAAAAGTTCCGGTTCCGGTTCCGGTTCCGGGCCGGAACTTTGAAAAGTTCCGGTTCCGGTTCCGGAAACCGGAACTCAAATTGGATCCGGTTCCGGTTCCGGTCAAAATTTCGGTTCCGGTGAAACACTAGTTACAAGAGTGAGAGTGCGAGATATGGGGGGAGGGGGCATCGATAAGGCGACCTCCTGGCAGTTGTTTTTAGCTACTTCTGTACTCCATGTACATGTGCTACCCGAATGAGCTTTCACCTTTTCTAATAAATCTTAAACCCGAGCCTAGTAAGTATTTTAATTGCTAACTAACTGAATATCTACTTTATTGTTTCTAGGAAATATATTACTCTCCCACGACTATTCTACGGTTCAGATTTAGTCGAAAATACGGTTAAGATGGAATTCTAGTAACACTGAATATCAGTGCCAATTTAATTTTTAAAATACTAACCATTAGAAAGAGTGCCTCAGAAGCAGGCTTACTATAAGATTCTACAGTTGAAAGTACACTCAGAATCAAACAGATAAGAACGAGGCTGAATACACTGAAGGAATATTTTTTTATTCAATCTAATTATTAAAGAGCTTTAATAAATTACCTAAAATGATAGAGAAAACATTTCCATCCGGTTGGTCTTAAATTAAAAAAATCAAAGATATACAACAAAATTTAAATTAAATAAATTTACCTTTCCAGAAAATTATAAACCTTTAAATTTAAAAATATTTAATTTTTAAATTAAATTATTCTCTAAATGTTTGGAATGTATACTTAAGATTTTACATGAATCGACAACTATAGTTTAAAATAAACTAATTCCATGAGGGGCTGCATTAAAATTTATTATGGAAATAGAGGGAAAGGATATTATTGATGGCCCGATCCGGCCCGGTCCGAAGGATTGAGTCGGGCTTCGAATTTTGGCTTGAAAAAATTACTCGAACGCCGGCCCGTCTCGAAAACCCTAACCCTAGTTATTATAAAACTTTACAGAAATATTTTCAATGAAATTTTAATTATGAAAGCTTTCACTAAAGGAAGTTTTACTTTATTAAGTTAGAATTTATTTATTACTTTGCTTTTAAGTGTTGGTTTTGCTGCTTTTCTTTCACGCAGTGTTCTAAATCTGTTGTCAAACATCTTAATAAAAATACTTAAATTATATTTCCAATCCTTCTGATATTCTGAATAACTTTTTAATGCTTCTAAAAACCTTTTCAAGAAGACTTCCTTGAAAAAAGTCAACAGGAAGAGGAGGAGGAACAGAACAACTTTCAGTACTTTCCACACTCGATTGCCTAACCATTTTAGTGGAAAGAGATGCTGTTAATGAATTTGAAGGCAAATATTTGTGTTTAAATTGTTGTTCTTTTAATTAATTTTAATTTAAAAAATTATTTTTCCGAATAAAACCATTGAAACTAGCTGTTCGACGGCGATTTTTAATTAAATCTTGTTCTTCACTTTCGGGTTGCTCTTCCGAATGCCGTTGTAAAAGAGGCGAAATAACACGAGGAAGACTTACCTCACTCGCGCAAGGACTTAAAGAAGTGGAAAGTAAGGAATTAACACCGCCTGATGAAGAAAATTGCATTGAGGGAGGAGTGGGAGGGAGAGAAGTGGAAAAGAAATGCGAGAATATAAATCTGCAAAGGTAATTTTAAATTTAAGTATTTCAAAAAAAATTCAAAAATCAACAGAAAATCATAGCTTTTTAAATAAAAAAGAATTTTTTAATGACGAGGAAAGACGATATGAGATTTTAAAAATTAAAAAATAATATGCCTTTACTATCCTGCACAGTACTTTTCAGTATCCTGTCCGAAATTCTGTCTTTTTTCTGTTTTCAGGATTGTCAGGATTAACCAATCCTGATACAGGATCCTGCAAATGTGAGGTTACCGACCTCTAGTTAATATTATTTTATTTTTTTTTGATGAATTTTTTATAGAGATCATACTGAGAAGAGAGCTCGCAAACAAATGTTTATTGAGTTTTTTGGCATTATTATGGCACGTGGATATATCGGGACGGACATGTCGGGCTATTTCAATCTATGAACAGTTACCCTACTGATTTCGAGACCTTAGGCCACTGGATCTTGGATAGTATATTGTCCTATTGAGGAATAGAGTTTTTATGTTTTAGAACAAATGTAAACACGCAAGAAATTATTTTTGTCACCCCAATCCCGATATGTCCGTCCCGATAAGTCCGCACACCATTATTATTGTATCTTTTTGTCATCATTGTAGCCAAAATAAAGTGTTGGGTTTAAAATAACTCAATTAAGTAGATATTACTAAATACAAAATTTTAATTAGCAATTAAAATTATTTGAAATTTTTTAAAGGCTTTAGAAAAAGCTAAAGCATTGGAAACTTTATTTAAAATTTCAAAAAATTTTTGTGATTATTGATATCTTATAAAATGTGATTAAAAATATGTATAATAATCATATTCACGTCAAAAAAATGATAAAAGTATCTGCTCTCATTTTCTATTCACACCTACTTAGAGGGAAACCTCAACTAAACAAATTCCATTTTAATCCTTCTAAATTCCCCTTTCCTTTTCCTCGTTAATCCAAAAAAATTCACAATCTAACTCTACTATTAATTAATGCCCTTGTTTCCAATGGTTACTGAATTAAAAAAAAATTTATATACAAATTTTCAAAAAAACTTTTCAATATAAAATCTGTCAAAACAATGAAAGCACGCAATTGTACTTTATGAGAAACAAATGCTGTTATAAACAAATTAATAAAAATTCTTTTTTAAAAAATTTTTAAACAAAAAAATATTTTAAAAAATTTGGGTAATTCTAATCTAAACTTAAAAATATTCGATGACACATTCAATTATTAAATTTTTTGGGTGTTTTTGTTAAAAGGATACATACCGTATTTTTCCTAATAGTCGACCGGTTGGTTTATTTTTCAATCTCCTTCTAGGGGGTCGGTTTATTAGAAGGGTTTGGTCTAATAGAGACAGTGGCACTATTAGGAAAAACACGGCATGTGCTTTACTTCACAAGCACATTTGTATTAAGGCTAAAATCGGCAAGTCACTAATTTTTTTCAATTCCCGATTTAGGGTAATCGTGATTCCGTCTCAAATAACTCGGGAATTCCCGATTTTCAGGAATTCGGGCAGTTTGTTGGTTTTTGTTGTAGGTTGATGTTAGACATTGAGGCTATGACATATGATCTAGTATGAACCTGTCAAGTAAATGTACCGGAAGGTATACCATAAATGTTGAGGAATAAGGACTTATTAAGTCAGAATTTGGGACGCTAAGATACGGATATTTATTGATATATTACTTTAATGTGATTTATTCAACAATTTAAAAATAAAATAATTAAATATATCTATTAAATATACATATTCATTTATTTTGACGAACTGCAACACATTCCCGATGTCAACTTACATGTGCTTAGCGGAAGATTACTGAAAATTTTTAAGTAAAATTTAATTTTAATTATTAATAGGAATGAAAGACTATTAAAAAAATATGTTTTACCTGCAAAAACTAAATGGAATACAATTCCATTTTGATCCACTGTTTAATTAAAAATAAATATTTATTTTTAATATTAAAATTAACCTTGGACAGGTTGCGCTGCATGGACATGGGGGTAAAACATCAGCTAAAACAATTTCTTGAAGCATCATAATAAATATAAAAATAAGAATAATTTTTATATTAATTAAGCTCATTTTTGGTTAAATTTATTTATACAATTATTTTAAAATTTAATTGGATAACTAATTTTCTATGGAATAATTTGATAATTTAAATAACGCTGAATTTATTAGGGTTTTTTTATCTAAAACATTTAACTATACTAAGTTAAAGAAAATGTTGCTTTACACAATTAGAGAGAAATTCCACAATATTTTTTAAACAATTAAAAAATATTTCTTACTAGTTTTAGTCATGAGTAGAGACCGGATATTTATGCATTAAAAAATGCAAAATATGCACTATAATATGCATAAAAAATTGACAAAATATGCACGAAAATATGCAAATAAACCAAAATATTCACAAAATTATGCAGCAAAAATACAATTTTTACCTTGAATTTTTGATTTTTTTGAATCAAAATCATTAAAACACCTATTTTTATTAAGATTACTCTCATTTTAAATGTATAGTCCGCCAAATTAAGTATTTTTAATATATTGGACATTTTGAGATGAGACGTTTTGATGGTGGGACATTTTGGGATGGGACGTTTTGGGCGTGAGACATTATGGGTATGGGACATTTTTGGGTCGTGCCCAAAAACAAAAATTTTTTTTTAAAAATTTGTAATTTTTACAAATTTTTTCCTAAATTTTTACTAAATTTTCACTTTTTGGCAGGATTTTGGGCAATTTTCGAGTTATTTTCCCCAAAAACCCCAAAATATGCAGTAAAATATGCATTATGCAGCAAAGTCCGGAATATGCAAAAATATGCATTATATGCAAATAGAAACCCCCTCTAGTGTTTTCAAAACATGCGGAAACAGTGTTTTTTGTGCATTATACATGATGCCAAATTTGCAAAAAAATATGCATTTGCATAAAAATCCGGTCTCTAGTCATGAGGAAATGTAAAAGCAAATAAACAATAAAAATAATTTTAGTTTTCGAATTTGAAATGTGTTTGAATGTGAGTGTTTTCATACATGATTGAAAATATTGAATTTATTTAATGATAAAATAAAATTTTTGTTTCGTCGTTTTTGTTTGAAAAAATTTTTGAAACAAACATTGTCGAAACTCGTCATTTTATAAATAAAATTTTCCTAAAAGGAAGTAAATATTAATTTAAATAATTATAATTTTGTCTATGAAAGTTAATAAAAATTAGTGAAATGTTGGGTAAGTTGTAGTAAATTGGAAAATTACGGAGAGATTTAAATTTTACATATTAGTCTAGGCTCACATTTCAGAATTGAAAATAATTAAAATATTTTTTAAATTAAGGTTGACCAGAATAATTTTATTAAAAAACAGGCTGGACAGATAAAAATTTAAGTGATTAATTATCCACTTATAGGAACAAAATAATCTGTCACGGATTTAATTAAAGCACATAGCAATGTAAAAATTGTAAGAGTTTAAATATTATAAAAAGAATTTTTATAATATTTTCTCAAAGAAATTAAGAATTGAGCTATTAGACAAATCGTTTAACAAGATTAATTTGTTTTTCTAGATCAATGCATCAATTACTATTTCAAAATTATGGCAGAAGTTACAACAACTTATAAACAATATTATCCTAGAAAATATGTATAATTAAATCTATGATTAATAAATATTTGGTGAAATAATTCAAAAATGGAAAGAATTATGACTTTTCAAAATTCACAAAAAATTAAAAAAAACTTTTTTATATCAAAATACAACGAAATCCGGGTAAATCTTTTGGAATTTGGAAATTAATTATGTCTTTACTTTCCTTGTTAATCCAGAAAACCAGGCCAGAACCAGTCCAACATGCGCACCAAATCGGAAATACCGTTTCCTGCCCAATAAAAAATATGTTTTGTCAGACATTACAAATAATTTCAAAATAAATTACGCAATTTATCACAAGTTAATTTAAAAATAAAAGTGCAACAATTTCTTTTTATTTATTGCCGCTTTAAAAAAAAGGCACTTATGAAATACAAGCGGCGCTGAATAAAGCAAAACAGTACTTAAAATGAAAGAGTAAAAGGGCAAAATGTGTCCTTTCCCATTTTAATGTAAAATTTAAAGGGTATTTTTATAAAAAATATATAACAAATGTTAAAATCCCAGCAGCGATCCGGTCAAAATCCGTTATTATAACAAATTTAAATGAAGCTGAGGGAATCCAGCCGGATACAATCCTTTGCTTTACTTAATGCCGTGTTTACATAAAAAGCGTCTTGCGTTTTGAAGCAAAAAATAGCATTGAAAATGAAGACGCGATTTTGCCTCTCCTTTGAACTGCCATTTTTTGCCGCAAAACACAAACACAGCATAAATACATATTTAAATAATATGTCTATGTATAATTAATGTAGTTTCAGAATTATATTTTGACAATGAATAAAATTATTTATTTTTTGTTTATATTTAATTTTCTAAAAATTATTTATTCAACAAAAACTGACAAAATTAATGAAAGTTTGGATGAAGTAATGTCACTCGAATCGAAAATAGAAACAATCAAAAATCATATTGAGGAGCACATAAAGCTTAATAATATGTATTTGGAATATTTAAAGCAACCGAAAGGCGAAGAATTTTTGCAAATTTCATTGCGTTCATATGTCAGAAATTTTCAAATGTTTATTTCCAACTTTTTCGGGAATAAAAAAATTGACGACCCAATTGAAGAAGCCCGTTTAAATTATTTATTGGGAATACCAAAAAGTGAAGAAGGGGAAAAGGAAGGATATGGATGGTCTATTGAATTTGGAATTGCTTTCAGAAATGTTTTAGACGGGGCTAAGGAATTAATTGTTCAATATACACATAATTATATGCAAAATAAATGTACAATGGAAAAAATGTTTTGCGAACATTTTTGTTTTATAAACTCTGTGATGAAAGATAGAAAGCTTTCTGCAAACAAATATTGGAGTGAGCATGCGAAACTATTCATAAAAGGAACAGATAATGTGAGATCAAATTTAACACTTTATTATTTTAAATTAAAAATGGGTGATAAAGTGAATCTCTAAAAAGGCACATTTACCATCTCATCCTTCAAACCGTTCAGATGGAGAGCCCCACATTATTTTTCATTGAAACACAAAATCACCCTTCCATTAGAATAAAGCTAGCTTGTGGTTATAATAACCATGGTCTCTACAGGATTATCAAAAATGGAATATTAAGCACTTTAATTCTGGTCGCATTATATGGCAGCCCAAAACGGGGTTTGTTTAACTCGAGGGCCATTAAATCGTAGGATTTAGTGTATACAGGGTGCGGCAAATTTAGCGCCGACTATGTTTTGGCTATAACTTTTTTAATTTTGAACGAAAATTGATAATTCTTTTTTTCCTGGATTCCCAACACTTTAGGAAACTTGTTGATATCAAATATTGAAAATTCGGCCCACTGAGAGGAAAGAAAAACGAGTCCGACAGCCGAAAAATCTAAAAATATTTTTCATGTCAATGTTTAGTTGATCATAACTTTGTTCAAAATAATCCAATCCGAGTTATTTTGGTACCAATCAACTCCTCTCGATAAGGAGCATCGAAATAGCATATCATTCTATCATTCAAGTAAATTAAGGATCTAATTATTATATAATAATCTAAATTAAGGATGACAAGATTTTCGACACCAAAATTAATTGTGAAACAGAAAACCAAATTAATGAGATGATACAAAAATGTTTTGACTCTCCATCCTTTAATGAAGAATTAAAATTCATACACTATAATTTGCTTAATTTAACATTAAAAAAATTTGAAAGTCGAGATTTAACATTTTATACAAAGACAGCAATAAATAATTTAGTTGGACCCTTCCTTCTAAGAAAATTGGAGAATGAATATCCAGAAATTCTGTTGAAATGTAAGTTTACATATAGAGATATAATTTATAAGAAATGACCAAGTCCCAACAAAATATGATTTAATTGGACAAAGTTATGCATGATTTTAGTAATTGTTTGTTGTAATTATTTGACTCAGCTCGACTAGTGACCTGGACTGGATCCTGGGCCTGTAGTCCAGGAAAACCCCAGCACATGAAATACCCAGGAAGGTCAAAAGATGCCTGGACTTGGATTTTGGATACAGGAAAAACCCAGGCATTGGTCCAGGTTCAGCTCTATCTCTATTATGCATATCATTCTATCATTCAAGTCGTGCCACCTACACTGCGACGAAAATTATACGTCCACCCCAATTTTTCGGAATTTTTTCATTTGTATTGATCAGAATTTTCTGAAAAATTAAATACACATCATTTACTGAATAATTAACAAGATGTCTAAGGATTTTTGCTAAAATTTTTATTTTAACAATTTTTAGACCAAAATTTGTGTTGGCCTACGCAAAATTATACGTCCACTTTCAAAAAAAGTTATTTCCAACAATGGGAAAAATCTATTGGTTGGACGTACAATTTTGCGTTGCAGTGTATGTTGTATTGATAAAAATTAAATTCTAAAAATAATTAAAGCTGAATTCGAGCTCGCATTGGAGTCTGTCTACAGATGGAAATTATATGAAAAAATATTCTCCTTTGGCATGTCAGAAGAAGAAATACATAAAAATTACAACTTAAATGCTATTAAGATAGAAGAAAAACAACTAAATGCTTCATTATTGTTTAGTAAAATCCAGACTTTTGAAGGGATAATTTATCATAGTTTACTGAAAAATGAGGATCCAGACTATAATAAAATGTCCGATTTAACAAATTATTTCACAACATTTAAAGAAGAAATTTTCGAATTTCTAAGAAATAAGGGGATTGAATATGCCTTATTTATATTATTTAATTTTTATAAAAAAATACATGAAAAAACAATGGAGTATGTAAATTTAGCTAGAGAAGGAAATTCTTTTATGATTTTTAATGAATTGCAGAAAATAAAAAATGAAGTTTTTGAAGGTTTAAATGAAATCTTGTTAGAAGATGATTTTTATTCAAACGTCAGAAAATTTTTAGCAAAAGACCATTTAAATTATTTTGACAAAGTTTTTAAAGAAAATGTATATGCGCTTGAAATGTTTGAATGCACAAAAGGCTCAAAATTTATATTAGTGTCTTTACTTGAAGGATGCAAAGATCGAAAAAAATTAATCGAAAAATATAATTTATTTAACGAAAATGGTAAATAATTAGGTATTTTTGATAAGATTGCTCCATGGTTCCAAGAATCTGTCACTGGAGCAATGCATCCGCAAAATAGTTAAGCAGGCTGAAACCGGGACTTATGGGGCTCTACTAAAAATCTTTTTCCGGTTCCCAGAATCGGTTCCAGTAGTTAACCACCCCTCCAAGTCGTCAGGGGCAGCGGGGTCCAACCATTTAGCCCCTCCCACATTTAAAAGGTATTTAGACACACCCAATCCGTCGTCAGAGTCCAAAGATTCAATGGACACCCAAAGGATCAAAGGGTTTAAGGGGTAATATGATCAAACCGGTTTAATGGCAAAAATTGAACTTTTTTAAAGAAAAACTATCATTCGCCCTATTCTTCACCAATTTTTATTTTAAAAATTTTCCTAAAGCTTCAAGGTTTAAGAAGTGGTTTTGAACTGATTTAAACGGTTCAAAGAAGAATTTCGCATATTTTAAAAGATTACATAACCTAAAATTTAAAATGGTTCCCAAAGGTTCAAGATGTTCAGAATTTCTTTTGAACCGGTTCAAAGGATGTACTCTTAAAAATTCTTAGAGAAACATCTTTCCAACCCTCTTTATTTTCTAAATATCTTCTTTTATTTTTACCCTTTATTTTGAAAAATATAAAAATTATTAAAAAAGTAGGCGGTGAAGAGTGAAAATATATAATAATTATAAAAATTCATTCATGCAATAATTGTTACAAAAATTATTGTTAAATAGGTCAAAAATCTGTCATGCAAAAATTACATTGCAAAATTATATTTAGAAAGGAAAAAATGTCAAATTTATAAAATTTTCAAAAAATAGTAGTTAAACCCTCCTCATATTGTAACAAGACTTAAGTCAAACAAAAGTTCGCTTTAACCAAAAGGTTTAAACCAAACGGTTTAAGGGTACTTTGATCAAACCGGTTTAAGAATAAATTGAACTTTTTAAAGAAATCACCTTACTTTTCACAAGATTACATATACAAACGGTTTCCAAAGGTTTAAGGGTTCAACAAGTGGTTTTGAATCGATTTATCCGTTTTAAAACACGATTTTCACAAGATTACATAGCCATAAGTTTATAATGTTTCCCAAAAGTTCAAGAGTTTAAGAAGTAATTTTAAACCAGTTTAACCGGTTTTTCCTACATCAAAACCTCTCATATCAAACTTAACCTCTCATATCAAATCTCAAACATTAAACAGCTCTACATACTTTTTAAAATTTATATTACATTTAAATCCGTCTTATCTTGATCTAACCCTTTCTCTTTATTTTAATCCATTCTTGAAAAATACAATAATTATTATAAAAAGTGGAAATTTGCTAAAATCAGTCATGCGCAAGAAAAATGGTGAAATTTAGTAAATAGATATTGAAAAGTAAAAATTGGGTAAATTATTTAAAAAAAAGTAGGCGTTGGAGGTAAAAATAATGTTAAAAAGTGAAAATATGTCACAAAATACGTCATGTGAAAATTGTTTCAAAAAAATGATTAAAAAGTAGGCGTGGAAAAGTGAAAATAGAAAAACTGTCAAATAAAAATGACATTTATAAATCCAAGTTTTTGAAAAATTTCCTCATTCTTTGAATAATTTAAAAATATTGATATTACTTTACTAAACTTAAATGTCTCCTCCACCTCTAAAGAGATCGAGGATGTTCCTCATTGACAACCTATTGCAAAAGGGTGGAGGTGATTATGTTAAACAACTCGGTGAGGAAACTAAACTCACTAAGAAATTCAACATGACCAAACTGACTACAAAATTTCTAATTAATAAACTACCTCCAAGCCCCGAAAGCCTACTCCAGGAAATATTCCAAACCTGTATCGACAAAACAATATCTACAAGCCGCGAACACCAACTTGAACCTGATCAACTAGGATGTATTGTCAGCAGTCAGCTGCTCGAAACTGACATTTGGATTCCCATTAGAGACATCACCAACAACACCATCGACACCATACTTAATCAATTCTTGAAAGTCGCCCAATCCAAAAAGCAAGATAATGGTATGCTTTGGGGCGAACCATTTACAGTCTCCGTTACTACCATTGACAAGCAGAATATCCCTAGAATACGCGTCATCAGCGGAAGCGGTGGGAAATCTACTCGTAGGATAAATGATAAAAACCTCATCAAAATACGCAATACCGACAACCTATGTTTGTTTTATGCATTAATGGCTTCATACGTCTACTCAATATTTTCCTGGCCAAAATGGAAGTTCTATGATTATATGCATAGCAGAAGAGGTATGACTCATCAACTCGAACAAGATACCAAAAAACTATTGAGAGATGTTGGAGCTCCTCTTGATCAGCCAAGCTATGATGCGCAGAACTGGGTTCCCAAAGTGGTCAATTATTGGAATACATTGAACATAGGCCTGTTTAAAGTTTATATTTTTGGTGAATTTGCCGAAGAACCTATCTTCAAATATGGACAGGAAAAGTTTGATACCCCAATTATTCTTTATCACCACAATCAACATTTCGACGGTGTGCGAAGGGCATCTGATTTGTTTGGTGAAGCTTATTGCCTTTTTTGTGAAAAAACGTACAATCGTCCAAAAGATCATGCCACTTCATGCAAAGTTAAATGTCAAAACTGCTCCAGGATCGGTCCAAAGTTCCCATGCCAGCCCCTGAACAACTTTTTCAAACACTGCTCTGGATGTGACAAAGAATTTAAAAACGAGGACTGCTACAACCACCATCTATTCTCAAACTTCTGCGACAATTCTAAAAAATGTGAAAAATGTGGAGTGGTATGGTTTGTCAAAGATAACAACCGAAATGGTAGAAGTGGTCATGTTTGTTCCGAACGCTACTGTAACACCTGCTTCAGCTTTCATGATCCAAAAAGAGGATGTTATATCAAACCTCTTGCTACAAGGAAGCCGAAACCTTACCGCATCATCGCTTTCGACTTTGAAACTATGCAACACCAACAAGGGAAAAATGGAAAACTCCACGAAGTCAACTTTATTTGTGCTAAAATTAACTGCCCCGAGTGTATTGCTAATTGTTCGGACGTTTGTACTGTTTGCGGAGAGGATCGAACTATAACATTCTCCCACCAACCCTTTTGCAACACTCAAGTGGATCAACAAAATGTAACTACCGACCCTCTAACTGATTTTGCTTCATGGATCACCAACACTTCAACCGACACAGTAGCCTTCTCTCATTTTGGTGGAAGGTTCGACATGGTACTCCTCTTCAAGGCTTTGTATCTTCAAGGCTTAATACCTGAAATGATAAAGAAGGGCAACAAGATGTATGAGATGAAGGTGAAGAATTCTAAAAAATGCTGGATAATCTTCCACGACACCTACAATCTTATGCCAATGCCTCTTGCTTCACTTGTGCCTGCTTTTGCTCTACAAGTCGAAGACAAGCCCTTCTTCCCACACTTGGCCAACAATCCAAATAATTATGGAAAAGAGGTCTTCCCAACAAAAGAAGACTATCTCGCCAACACTATGATGCCTGAGAAGCGTGCCCAATTTGACAAATGGTATGATCAACATAAGGATGAGCCTTTCCTTTTGGATGAACAACTAGCAGCGTATTGTACCAACGATGTGGAGATCCTGATGGCTGCGCTCATTGCCTTCCGTAACGAATTTTTGGAGGTCTCCAACGGCCTGGATGTTCTTCGGGAAGCTATGACAATTGCTTCTGCCTGCATGAAGCACTTCAGAATGAATCATCTCAAGGCAAACCATGTTGGGATTGTTCCGGAAAAAGGATACGACAATGCGGACAACCAAAGTAAGATGGCCCTCAAGTTCCTCAAATGGTATGGCGAGAAGAACAACGTTGAAGTGAGGACTGCCCACTCGAAGAATGGTGAAAAAAGGATGGGCAACTATAGATTGGATGGATGGGTCGAGGAAAAGAAGTTGGCAATTGAAGTCAACGGCTGCTGCTGGCATGGATGCCCCAAATGTTATCCGGAAGATGACTTGAAACTCCCCACTGGACTTACAGCTGGAAAGCAAAGAGAGAAAGACAAACAACGTCTGAACTTTATCAAGAATTTGGTAGTGGATGTGGAGATCTACTGGGAGTGTGAAATACGAGTTATGTTATCAAAGGACTATGATATGAGGAAGATGTTTAAAAAATACCTGGATGACGGACCCATCAACATTAGAGAGGCCTTCTATGGTGGCAGAACTGGCCCTCTCAAACTCTTTCATTCTGCAGAGCAAGGAGAAAAAATCTCCTACTACGACGTGACTTCCCTCTACCCGTTTATCAATGTTTCGACTCGATATCCTGTTGGACATCCAGAAGTCCATGTCATCAACAAAGATGTCAACTGGACTAAACCGGAAGACAACATTTACAATCTTTCCCTTCTAAAATTATTTGTAATTCCACCTCGAAAAATCGATGTTCCTGTCCTACCTATGAAAATTGGGGAAGACGAAGACGAAAGACTTCTATTTCCCCTGTGTTCTACTTGTGCCAAAGAGCACCCAAAAGGGGACGTCAACGAAAACTACAGTTGTCCCCATTCAGATCAACAAAGAGGGTGGGTCAGCACATGCACATCTATTGAATTGAATGAAGCCCTCAAGGAGGGATATATTGTCACTAAATTATTCAGAGTATTGGAATACAAAAGCTACGACGACAAACTGTTTACCCCATACATCAGTGAATTTATGGCGCAAAAAATTCACTCGTCTGGGTTTGACAACTCAATTAAAGGAGATAAAGAGAAAGAAGATAAATTTATGAAGGAATGTATGGAATTGTTTGGGATTAAAATTGAAAGGGAGAAGATGGTGGTCAACAAAGGGAAAAGGACACAAGCGAAATTGTGTCTAAACAACTTATGGGGAAGATTTTCCCTTCGTAACTTTGGCCTCTCTCAGTGCAAAATTTCCAATGACCCAAGCGAATACGTGAAAATGAGCGACGACCCATCAATTACTATTAACCATTGTCATGAATTGACTGAGGATGGTACTGTTCTAATCGACTACACCAAAAAGAAGGATTGGGTGGAAGAACATGACTCATCAAATGTCATCATCTCGCTCTGGACCACCTCAGCAGCGAGAATCCACCTTCTACATGCCATGCAAAAAGTTGTAAGAAGTCCTGGTTGCGAGCTCCTTTACACTGACACCGACTCATTAATCTTCACACACCCAGACAACAATTGTCCTCTTCAATTAGGGCCTCATCTGGGACAGTTTACTGATGAGTACCCCGATTTCAACATCTTGGAATATTGCTCTGGAGGTGCAAAACAATATGGTTTGAAAATTCAAAAGAAGGCCGCTCCACTCAACTCAACTGACTATGTTCTCAAAGTCCGTGGAATGACTCTCAACTGGGATGTGATCAACAACCAAGGATTGTGCTATGAAAACTTCAAGAAGCAAGTTTTTGATTTTACAAAAGATGAATATGAACCAATAATGATTAATTATCCAAATTTTCTTAAACCATCTATTAAAGATGGTTCTATAATTACTCAACCTCTTTCTAAAATTTATAAGCCTTATGTCGGAAAAGGCATTGTTCGCCCTTCCGATTTTGTTGTATTAAATTTTGGTCACATTAATAATTAATTATCTTGTTGTAATTTCTTCATGAGTTGGAAAGTAGCCAGGGGTATGGGCACCCAGACTCTATACCAACTATCGAATGTTGTGAGGTAATCCTCACATGTAAAATCGGTGGTAGCGGACTTGAGTAAATTCTCACTTCCCTGGTTGAGTTTGGGCATGCCTGTCAAATGGCGAAGCCACACTCTTATCTTTTCTATTTCTTTATTCTTATCTATTTTCAATAAAAATTTTACATATTCTTAATAAATAATTTCTTTATTCTTATCTATTTTCAATAAAAATTTTACATATTCTTAATAAATAATTTTCCACAATATTATTGTATTAATTTTATTCGTGATAAAATTTTAAAGATACAATTGCAAAAATTATTCAATAGGAGTCACAAGTTTTAGGGGTAAAAATGCATAATTAGTAAAACAAAGATACAATTTAAAAAATATTAAAAAATAAAGAAAAGAAAGACATAGTTTTTAGGGGTAATTTTACAGAATTAGTGAGACAAAGTAGTAAATTTCAGAATTTTATAAAAGGAGGTGTTCTTTTTAGGGGAAAAATTACAAAATTAAGAAAACGAAGATAAAATTTATCAATTTTCATCTTTTTGAGTGTGCATGCGAGGGCGTGCATATGTAGAGGGGTGTGTTGCGAGTGAGTGGCGTGTGGATGTGTTAAGGATGTGTTGTCGACAAGAAGTTATTACTTATTGTGAAGACTTGATAACATAGAAAATATTTCTTTTCGATTATTGTTTGAAGCCTAGCAACAACAATACTATTGATTCCTTCTAGATGCCTTATTAATGTCTTATGTAAATTGAAACACAAGAATAATCATTAATTTTAATATTTGATAGATATATATTACACATTGTTAAGAGATGTTCTTTTAGGAAGACCCTTCACATTTACTCCTGTGACTTTCACAGTAAAAGGTTCACCCCTCACTAAATACGCTTTTCTTATAATTCTATATAGAATGTCGTCCAAAGTATTATTATTAGACATTTCACATATTGGACTACATACATCATCATAAAATAGATCGCAACTCACAATACAACCTAAACTATCAGGCTCAATTTCGTTTTTAATACCTTCTCCAATTGTTTTTTCTATACAATTCTGGATAATTATTCTCATAATGTTTTCAATGTCAGAAAAGTCACTAATTATAACATACTCAAATATTCCTTTAGTTAGATGGAATTTTGTATTAGTTTTAAAATGTTCGTGTATTTTAATAATTTTCTGATCTTCAATTAGTTTATCTAAGCTCATTATAGAAATATAATTTAGTGAGAATGAATATATTATACATAAAAAATTTTTGTTATAAAGAACTCTCTTCACACAGATGTAGCACGAGGTGTAAAGTAGTACCAGAGATGTGAAGTAGTACCATCAAACCTTAGATAAACTAGTTAAATTGGAAGTTGTTACAAAAATGTACTTTTTGTTGTGTGTACGGTCCAATATTGCATTATTCTCTTTGAATAGTGAAATGACTAAACCAAAAATTTACTGAATCGAAATTCTCTTTCAAATATTTCACTTTTTATTTTCTTCTTGGCTAGTAGACATGTGATAAAATTTTAAATACAATTGAAAATTTAATAAAGAGGAGTTTGAACATTTAGAGGTAAAAATACAGAATTAGTAATTCAAAGATACAATTTTTAAATATTAAAAAATTATTAGAAGGAAGACATAGTTTTTAGGGGTAAAATTACATAATTAGTTACTCAAATTAGTAGATTTCAGAATTAAGGAAAAGGAGTTGTTGTTCTTAGGGTAGAATTACATTCTTAAGGAAAATAAGATGAAAATTGTCAATTTTCATCGTTTTCAGTAGGTAATGACTGTGCGTGTGTTCAGTGTGCGCATGTGTGTTGAGGGTGTGTGTGTTTTAAGTACACATGTTTCGGAATATTTCTATATTTACAATATTTGCACATATTTTTACAATCGTCTTCGATAAATGATTACCGGGCTTTTCTCTAACTGTCTATTCAGGCTGTTCCACTAAATGATTACCCGGCTTTTCTTTAACTATCTATTCAGGCTGTTCCACTAAGATATTACCGGGCTGCTACGATGCGTAATATTTCAGACTGCCATATTTATTGTGTTGTTATAAATTTCATACATTCCTGTGAATATATAGGCTGAGCAAGGAATTTACAAGGATACCTTCCAGAATGAAAAATAGATACCTTCCACAATGACAAATAGATTGCTTGTCAATTTTATTTAGTTAAAATTGTTCATGACACCTTGTTTCTATAATTTATTACCCAGACAATTCATTTAATTACCTATTTATGCTTTAAGTTATTACCTGAGTGTTATCTATGTGATGACCCACACTATTCCTTGTGAGTACTCTGTCTGCCAATATGAGTTATGTTTTATAGAATTTTAGAAAAATATTCAATCATGAAAAAATGAGGAAAATGTTCAACACATTCTTAAAACATTCTTAAAACGTTTTAAACATTTTCCTCATTTTTTCATGATTGAATATTTTTCTAAAATTCTATAAAACATAACTCATATTGGCAGACAGAGTACTCACAAGGAATAGTGTGGGTCATCACATAGATAACACTCAGGTAATAACTTAAAGCATAAATAGGTAATTAAATGAATTGTCTGGGTAATAAATTATAGAAACAAGGTGTCATGAACAATTTTAACTAAATAAAATTGACAAGCAATCTATTTGTCATTGTGGAAGGTATCTATTTTTCATTCTGGAAGGTATCCTTGTAAATTCCTTGCTCAGCCTATATATTCACAGGAATGTATGAAATTTATAACAACACAATAAATATGGCAGTCTGAAATATTACGCATCGTAGCAGCCCGGTAATATCTTAGTGGAACAGCCTGAATAGATAGTTAAAGAAAAGCCGGGTAATCATTTAGTGGAACAGCCTGAATAGACAGTTAGAGAAAAGCCCGGTAATCATTTATCGAAGACGATTGTAAAAATATGTGCAAATATTGTAAATATAGAAATATTCCGAAACATGTGTACTTAAAACACACACACCCTCAACACACATGCGCACACTGAACACACGCACAGTCATTACCTACTGAAAACGATGAAAATTGACAATTTTCATCTTATTTTCCTTAAGAATGTAATTCTACCCTAAGAACAACAACTCCTTTTCCTTAATTCTGAAATCTACTAATTTGAGTAACTAATTATGTAATTTTACCCCTAAAAACTATGTCTTCCTTCTAATAATTTTTTAATATTTAAAAATTGTATCTTTGAATTACTAATTCTGTATTTTTACCTCTAAATGTTCAAACTCCTCTTTATTAAATTTTCAATTGTATTTAAAATTTTATCACATGTCTACTAGCCAAG